CTTCACAAAAAGCAAAACAGAAACCACCCAAACCTCTGAGAGGTAGATCAGATTTTATCTCTTTTATTTTTTTCTTTCCAAATGAGGAAACCACACAAAGTGATTTGCCCTGGGGTCAGCCAGCCCATCGGTGGCTGGACTGGGGTTAGATGTTCTGGTCTCTAGATTCCCAACCTGCCAAATTGTCTGTCTCCCAGGGAGACGCACCACCGGGGGCTGTGCAACCAGTAACTATGCTGACTGACCAGTCTTCTTCCTAAATACTCTCCAAAGTCTCCCCATCCCAAGTGCCTCGGGCTCAGGACCTCCTCAGAGGAGCCCTTCCCTCTGAGGCATTGCTTCTGGTTCCTTTGTAACTAATACCATCTGGATGGCGTCCAAGATCCTCCTTATTCTGAATTCTCTTCTATAGCAACGAAGTCATATTATTGTTACTATGATCTGGCCATGACCCTCGGCTGTTCTAAAGACCCTGCTGGCTGTCTTCCCCGAGGCAGAGTGTTACTCAGACAGAGTGGGTTCCAGGTGTACCTGTACAGGTGTGGTGGAGGGCTGGGGAGAGTGCTTCCCAAGCCTGGCACAGGGTTGCCAAGTGGGCTGAGTTCCCTCCTGCTCTCAGGAGGGCTAGAGGAGAGCCATCGTCAAGGTGGCCACTCCTGCCTGCAGGCAGGTCAAGACCAGCACATGCATTGTTCTAAGGCTCCTTTTCGGGGAAGGGGAGGCTGGAGTGGGGGGGAGCGGGGAGGGGTCTTGGCTTCTAGGGTACAAAGCAAGATTAAGTAAACTTCATAGATTCGTAGAATGAGAGCCTGGGCTCTGCACTCAAGTTTCTAAGTTAGCATGTTAGCCACATTTCCAGTGACTGGCACCGCAGTGTTTCCGCAAGAGTGTTCTGGGGAACACCGGCTTCAGGAGGCGCTTTGCAGAAACAGGGTCCCATTGTCAAATACATGTGAGGAAGACCAGAGGTTACATCTCCTTTTGTCGAGTCACATTCCCATTGCAAAGGCTGTGAGAAGTCCCGCAATGATGAACCCAGTGCTGCGGAAACTCAACTAGTGGGAGAGCTTCCTTTAATGAATGACACTGACTAACGTCCCACAGAACACACTCGGGAGATGGACGGCAAGGCCATGGGGTCCCAGCCTGAAGTCATTTCTCACCTCCCAGGACTCTCCCTCCTGAAAGCTGGGTTTCTGCTCCCGGTGGCACCAATCCAGGCACTCTCCTTGGCTTTGCCAGTCTTGACCTCAGTTGTCTTCTGTCTTTTTACCATGTTGTTTCATTAGAAAATGCTTCCCAGCTGATATCGAAAGGGAGTGACCAGTGGAAGATTTCTATCACTGCAGGGTCCCCTGGACCTCCCGCCCAGGGAAGTGGAGAGACCATTCTTCCCTGGCTGGCAGACTCCGGAAGCTGTCACCTGCTTGTGCTGATGTGGGCCTGGGTTTGTCCCAACTCAGAGAAGCTCCTGATTCTTCTCTCTCTTTTCCCTCAAAAGGATTTTTTCTCCAATTTCTATTTTAAAGGACCAGGACTTGTCTAACACAATGGGGGTCCTAAGGAATCCAAAAGGTGCATCTTGAACCAGGTTCTAGTCAAGACAGAGGTTTTCTGGTTTCTTTCTTGTGCTCAGCCCTCCACACCTCCGCAACAGGACCTTGTCCCCTTCCCTTCTCTCCTGGCTCCACCTGACCACTAACCAAGGGCTTCTGAAATACTTTACTCCACCCTCTCCAATCATGTTTAATTGTCCCCCTCTTCCTTGAATATTCACACACACATACACATGCACATACAGAAACACACATGCATGCACACACCTACATGCACACATGCACACACACGGACACACCTACAGAAACACACACACACACACACACACAGTCTCCCACCATTCCAATCTTTGACACCGTCCTCCTTCCAACCTTTATCTAGGTGCAGACAACTTGGCACAGTCTAAGTAGGAATGCGGGTGAAAAAGGTAGGGATTTCTTTATCTATCTGTCAGCGCCTCTTCATTACGGACGAGCTCATTTAAAATGTGGAGACTTTGCCTCCCACCGGCCATACCCCAGGAAGATCTTTATTCCCTGCAGATGCTCATGTACTTGCCCACATCACGGTGACAAGAGGCCGTCCCTCCCAGGTGGGCACCGATGGGAAAGTGCCTGTCGGTGCCCTGTGCATCAGGAGTGAGGATGAGAGGTGGAGAAGCAGAGGAGGCCCAGGGCCCCACGAGGAGCCAGAAGCCCCGACAAGGAAAAGACACCGTGAGGATAAAGGAACTCAGACCGAGGAAGACCTGGGTTCTTTCCCCATCCCAGGTGAAAAGTGGGTTTCCAGGAATCCTTTCGCAGGTTCACAGTGAACTCTCCCTTATCAACACTCTCCCTTGACCGTTTCGTTCTCTTTAGTCTTGGCATCATGCACAGCAGGTAAACTGCTGACACTTATTGTCTCTGTCACAAAACACAGCTTCGAATTATTGGTGAGCAACTGGTGGTCCCACAGGAGGGGGAGAGGAAGCCAGAGGAGATCCACTGTGGGGGTTGTGGGGGTTAGGGATTAGATATGGATGGCAGAGTTGGGGTGGGGGTGGGGAGGTGTCAGCCTGGGGACCCACCATTCTTGACCACATCTGTTTAAATTCAGTGACGGTAAAACATGAGCCCATGGGAAGACGGTGACCTTCCCTCCCCCTCCTCCCAGCTCCAGGCCCAGCCCAGAACAGGAATCAGATCCATGAAGACAGGAGCCAGAACCAGGCAGTCAGGGTCGCTGCTGGCTCACCTGTGTCCCCTGGGTGAGAAGTGGGAGCAGTGTGAGTGCAATGTGTATTTCACACCTGCACCCCCCATGAGGCTTGATCTAAAGCACTGTGTGGTCATCACAGCCTTTATTCCCTTTGGAGCTTCAATACCCTTGGATGTGCCACAGGACCCGTCTAAGCCCATTTTGTTAGAAACTTGGAGCTTCGCCGAGCCTCCTCCCCTTGATGTCCGGGAACAGGTGAGATGACGATGGGCTCGGGCCCCAAGGTCCCCCTTGCCCTGCTGGCAGGGAGCCGGGCTGTAGGTCCCTCACACCTGAGCCCAGAGGAGCAGAGATCAAGGAACAAAGGGCCATCTGAGCTGGTCATTCCTCTCCACACAGTCCTGGGGCAGCGCCAGCAGTACCCCAGGCAGGGACCCAGAGGAGGAGTGGCCTTGGTGGGAGGGCTGTGCCCGGCCGTCTGGCTCTCCTGGCCTCAGGGTCTGGCTGCATTGCGACATGGGCTGCAGCAGCATTGGGTCCAACAAGCCCCGGGCTGAAGTTTGTGCAAACTGCGGGTGGCACCTCCCATGCTCCCCTCACCCGTCTTCCCTCTCCTGCTTTCTCTCCAGGTCTCACTCTTTTGTGGGTTGTTTGCCTCTCCTAGTCTTTGACTTTTTCCTTGAGCATTGGTGCCTATCAGTGCAATCGCAGCTGTGCCTTATCCTGCCTTTGAGTTTTAAAAGCCCCCCTGCTGTGGATGGTCCATGGGACACGCAGTTCCTCCACAGCAGGACTGAAGCACCAGAGGGCCCCGCATCGCCCAAGAGTGCGTGGCTGAATTAGCTAATAATCAGGTAAAACCGCGCATTTTCTATCTTCGCTGTCTCCGTGAAGTCTTGCACCTGCTCAGACAGACGGCTGTGATGGGGATGCAGCAAATGAGCAGCCATCGCCTGGGAGGCTGTGCAGATGGTGTGGGAGCACAGGGTGCTGGCCCAGTTCATCAAAGGGAAGGCGACTCGCTCTCCGTGGCAGCACGAGGGCCCGACTGGCTGGCGAGCAGCTGGGTGTGAGTTTGGGGATGCGGCTGCCAGAGAGAATGTCCTTCTTGGGCAAGCAGAAGGCTTCGCGATTCCGCTGGCCATGCCGCAGCACCGAAGTCACTGTTTGCCACACGGCTCAGCTCATCAGCTCATCCCACGTGAGGCCTGAGGTTTGGCCCCCGCAGGCACCCAGCCCTGGGCCACAATGCACAGCAGCCCCGGGCACATCTTGAGGCGGGAAAAGGAGCAGGAGGCCGAGGCAAATACCAGGCCCGAGCTGGAAGGAGGGTAAGGAATATCTCCCTCCACTCTCCCCACCCCCCAAAACCCCACACCCAGCTAAGACCAACTTGAAAACTGAAAATAGGGGCTGGCGGGGAGATGCGGAGAGAATAGCCCTGAAAGAAAGTCGTTTTTGACCAGAGGGGTGGGAAAAGGTCCTCTCTTCCCTCAGTTGGCAAAGTGGTTGATTGTGCAACCTGTGAGCCCAGTGCGGCACCTCTTATCTGCGCCTTCGCGTCCGTTAAACTGACAAAGGGGAACTGTCCCCACACGGGGCCCACAGTTAGCTCCGACTCACGCTGGGGCAGGTCTGGGGTCGGCCCCTTCCAGGTGCTGGCTCTTTGCTCACCAGGGACGCCTTCCCGCCCAGCTCTGCTCCCCGAGAGACTGCACAACGGGAGGTCACATGTGTGGAGTGAGGGTGGCATTCAGTCTTGGCTTCCCAGAGAGAATCAAAGCCGGGTTAGTAAGTTAACTGTTTACAGGCCACCTGGGACCCTTGAATGATAAGGAGAGCCTTACCCTGGTGAAAACATTGTTCGGGGTCAGAAGTCTCTGGGGAGATGTCTTTGAGTCCTGGGGTGGGAGCAGCCAGGCCCTCCGGGAAGGAGGCACCAGGGCAGGTCCCGAGCATGCACTGGGCCCTGGCGGCTGTGGCCACACGCGCCGAGGACACCAGCCATGCAGGCTGGCCCTGAGCCCTTCTCCTGGGTCTGGCTCCCTCTCAGCCCTGCCTCGAGCCCTGGTTCTCCCCTCACTTTGCCCAGTTTCCTGTGAGCATTGGAGAGATTGTGGTGTCTGCCATCATGCTCCAAATGATTCCAAACCATCAGTTTACAAATTTCGGAGTTCTAATATTCTCATCATTAATAGTAACGCTGCTTCTCCTCCTCATTCTTTTCTTTTTCAAGCATCAAATGATTTCAAAACATTTATTTTATTTGGTGTCTCGAGGATGGGCTTAACTCTGAGTCCGTTCCATTCTGGCTCTTGGCAAACAGTGTCCAGCTGGGACATGTGCCGCTCAGCCATGAGGACCCCATCCACCCACCAGGACGAATTCACCAGTCCAGTGACGCCCCTGGTCCTGGAACTGCAGCGATGGGTGCCCCTGGTCTCCTTAGATTGAACTTGAGCCAGGAACCGCCAGACCCAGGTACCATTCCAGGCTTCAAACTGACTAGAGCATCGCCGAAGTCCTTTCCAACTACTGCAGTCGATGCCTTCACCACGCAGCCCTTTCACGGTGGCACCTCCATCACCCCTGCCTCCTGCTTCGTTTTTATCTAGAAAGCAGTAAGAGTAGAGAGTGAGAGAAGGCTGAGTAGCAATTCACTCCTGAAATCAGGGGTTCAGATCAAGTTGGGGGCGGGGTGAGCATGACGCCCAGACCTGACATGCTGACCGCTGGGTGAATTATTTTCACTTCTGTGAAAAAGGCTTTCATGTTGCTTTGCCTGAAGCCTGCCGCATCTTAAAACCACCAGTGTCACGAGCTGTCTTATGGAAAGTGGAAATGGGCAGGATGTGGTTTGAACTGACACACACACACACAAAAGAAAGAAATAAAAAGAAAAAAAGGAGGCAGCTCATTTCTCTTTAGGGAGTTTAAAGTGATGGCAAGGGTCAGGCCAGAGACTGACATGGAGCCAACAGGCCAATCAGGTCTGGATCAGCCAAACCAGTTGCTGATCAAACAAAGGTGGTAAAGCAACAACAGAACACATATGCACACAACAACCAAAACACAAAAACAAATCAACTAAACATGTTTCTGGTTTCCAGGAGTAAAACTTTGCAATTATATAGCAACTTGCATATGGCAAGAAACACTCACCTACACACGATGCTCGAGACAGACGACAGAGAATGCAGAGCTGGGCCGCTATTCCTGCTTCGGGAGAAGAGCACTGAAATAGGGTGTGGTTATGAGGAGGCAAGTTACAAAGGGGGTGCGGGGATCCAGGACTCCTGAGGCTCGATCCAGAGGTATGTTTGGTTCTCCTGAATCCATGTAAACAGAGACCCATTTCAGAGGAAGAAGCAGGTCCCCAAGGTGGAGACCCCTGAGTCACCGTGCTGCCTTGGCCAGGGAGCCACGTCCCAGCCTTACTGTGCGCCCCGGTGCCTGTCACCTTACCGGCCCATTGAGACACTCAGTAAAAAGTCTGTTAACTCAACAATTGATTATAAATAATGAAAGCACCCAGAGGCCACTACATTGGGGCCTTGACTTACAAGTGTCCCGACTAATGAGTTTTTTGAGATACCAGCTGTCTCTCCGCCCATTTTTTGCATTGAGTTGATAGAGTAATTTGAGTTAACGAGCTCCTTAACGAGCTCGGTCTCGGAACGAATTAAACTCGTAAGTCAAGGCCCCACTGTAATTTCCAAAGGTTTAGATTCAGAATTCTCTGAGCTACCGAATGATCTTGAGGTGAGTGTTCCATGCTGCCCTCCTGAATTGGGGAGACAGAGGAAAAGCCCTTCTTAGCTTTCCTGGGAAGGAGAAGAGTGGATATGAAAACAACAGGAGTGGATGAGTACCTGGAAACTGAAGGTGGCCCACGTTTCTCAGAAAGAGAGAATCACCTGGCTCCATCACTTTCTATCCCAGGTCCATTTCCACCAGACAAGTCCCACCTGAGGGACCTTTCTCCACGTGTCTGTTAACACATGTGTCTTTGATGTGGGGAACTGTGTGGAGGAAGGTAATTATCCCAGCACCTTTGTTGATTGGCTGGTGTAGGTTGTTGTCCTTCTAAATGACTTTGGGGGAAGTGACATGATGTCTCTGGGTGTTCGTTTCCTCATCTCTAAAATCTGGGTGATGATAACAGCACCCACATTGTGGGTGGTCATGAGGATGTAGTGATGTCATCCGTGGAAATGCTCAGAACAGTGCCCGGCATGGAGTGAGCGCCCAGGACATGGCAGGGACTGTCCCCCGCAGGGTGCTTGACACAGGGTAATCGTTTTTAAATTATAAAACCTCAGCCTGCGTGTTTTTTTTCCTGCACAGACATTATCCAGAGCAGCAGAGCTGTTTAATGTTGCCCTGGCTTCCTTCCCTCTGTTCTGGGGAGGAAGGGGGGAGGGCAGAGGGAAAAGGAAGGACACGCACGTGTGGCAAACACCACCCTGCACACACCTCTGAGACATTCATGCACTCACACACACCGAAATCACACTTTATTTTTAGCACAAAAGTGCTTAATACATGATAAAGGTTACACTTCACATCCGTGAAGAAAGAAAGGAGGGCTCAATAAACGAAGCTGGAACAATTATTCCTAATTATTTAGGAAAATGAGTCTATTTTTATTCTTTAACCACACACCAATTTTACAGATGGATCAGAAATTAATGCCCTTCCCAATCCAAAGTCAAATCAATGCATTTCAGAATGAAGGATGCCTTACTAAGCACAAAGGGGACAGAACAAGAAGAAAAAAATTACAAATGTGACCACATAAAACACTAAGCCTGTGAAAATCACAAAAGTAATAAAATCAAAGGGGAAATGTCACACCAGATGAAAATATTTATCATATATGTGAGAGCCCATTATTCCATTGGGTGACTTATTTTTTTTTATTCACCTTTAAGAGCTCTTTGTTTATTAAGGAAGTCAGCACTTGTGTCTCATACGTGTCACATGCCATTATCCACATGTTTGTGGTGGTGCCTGTCTCCTGAGAATATTTAGCCCCTATGCTGTTAAATTTGTAATTCTAACAGAAATTAATTATAAGCTGACTTCATATATATATGTATGGCCACCTCTGATGCCACCTGAGAGATGAATTGCCAAGAATAACAGAAGCTGAGCGATAGAACTGTTCGTTGTTAGAGCTTTAGTTGAGAGGGAATACACTGAATTTTAGATCTAGGCTCTTCTGCTGCCTTAAAAAAAATCCCTGGTAACTATTTTTGTTGGAATTTTGACATAAAGCTGCCATTCTTAAAGCCTTAGAGCCCTGTCTGTTTTCAATCCATGCCCTCATTTCTTTGTCTGAAACACCAGCCAAGTCACCAACTTTCACTGAATGTTTTTAGAGGCAGAAGCCAGGAAAATTATCACACCCACGAGTGACTGGCTCCATGTTGAGTGGCAGGCACTGGACGTTCTGTGATGTTATTCTTCATACCTTTCAAAGTCTCCTTGATCTGTGTAGGCTACATAACAATATGCCCAATTCCTTGACTGCTTTCCATTTTGTTTTCAAGCTGGGCATGTGGTATTTCCAAACAAGATCTAGAACAGGTAGGCATGAAATCCAACCCTCATGATTTCATTAGGTGTCTTTAAATCTCCATGAAGTTTTTATTAGTTCTGGTAACCAAGAAAGAAAGAAAAACAAAACAAAACAAAAACACAGCAAGTCATTTGTTAAAGTCATAAAGCTGAACTAAATGGATAAGGTCCTCTAATTGACCTCGAGGAAGCTCAGGGACACTGTAGATCAGCTGCTAAATGACTTGTGATGTCTCGATTTAGAGTAGATGTCTGGCTCCCTAGCAGATTTGTCTGCCCATAAATTTCTTGATTAGGCTAAAGGCCTCTGTCAACATAGCCAGATCTTCAATTCAGTATGTCCTTCATTTGAGCTAATATCATGACTGAAAGCACATTCGCTCTGGGTGACACAATATTTAAATTTAAAATTGTGTTCACAGTTCATTTCCAAGACATCAATTTATTAGTGTAGGTGGGAGATGGAAACCACCAAGGTTGTAGCTATGATGCTCTAGGAGGTTTATTAATTGAAACTGCGGGCTAAAGGCAGAAGCTCTGTCTGACTTCATACTGCCTGCCAAGGATGCCTGGTTTTCAGTGCATTAGTGCCCCTTGTGGGAAATACTGTTAAACATTTATTTTTTTTATGGTTCAGTTCAGGCTCCACAAGACATCACTGAAATGTCCAAAGTAAATTCTTAGTATAAGTCACTGGCATTGAACATAAGCCAAGAGCTTCTTGCTATATCTCACTTGCCTGTTCAAAAGAGAACAACTGGTTAAAGAAGCTGCATGGAATTTTGGACTGATTTACCAACTTTTCTACTTGTCAACTATTGGAAGAAGAGATATATGGGCAATATATTCCATTTTAAATGGTTATGTTTTCTCTTTGTTGTCATTGTTAGCTCCTAATACTCTTTCACATCAAGAAAAACAGGCTTATAATAGGAATGTGAAAATCCTGCTTAGGAATGCTAAAAAAACAAAAACAACACACACACACACACACACACACACACACACACCTTAATTTTGGTTTTCTGGAACTTTCTTTTCCCAAGCAAGCAGCCCATTTTCTTGTGGGTAGAAAGTTTCCTCCTAACACATATAAGTAAAGAGGTCTCTCAAGCAGGAAGAGTCAGGAAGGATAAAAAAAGAATAGGTAAAACTACAGATAATGCCAAACCAGATTGCGTTGGGATAAATTACTTCTTCCGTTGATTCCTTAACAACGGTAAAGCAAAGCCATTGACATTGGATTAAATATCCCAAGAATTAATTGAACATTAAAGAAATGAGGCTACTTGTGTTCTACTTTTGTTTTTCAGCATGAAATGGAATATTCAGACTCTTTCTTCCAGCTTCCTGTGGAACAGAGTTACTCCCAGGGTGGGTGGTGGAAGTAGTGTTCCCAGGTAGCCTACAATTTGCACATCAGTTGATATTTTTATCTTCTTATCATCTTATTCATTTCCTTCCTATTCCTAGTCCTCCCATCAACTTTACAATTCCCTAAGTACCAGAAACAAAGGAAAGACTGGGCCCTCTAGCAGCCAACTCATAGAAGATCTAGAATTTCCTTTCTGTGGGGCAAGCACACCCTATTTCTGCATAGAAAGAGCCAGGACATAGTGGTTCATCTCTCAGGGGTTCTCCCCTGGTATAAATGGGGGAAATCCTTTAAAATCCCCTGAGGTATAGTGATTACTTGTGTAGTGTATATGACACTCATTCCACAAACTCAGATATGTCATAAATAACATATCTTTATTTTATTTCAGTCAAATTAAATAAGACTCTAAACCTGCCTTCCACGGGCTGGTAGAAGATTTAATTTCATTCTTGTTTGTCAAGTGGAATTCCCCCTTTCCCTAGGACAGAAGAGTCCAGAGGTCCTTGCCTGGGAATGGAGGGGAACCAAGACTCCAGTTTATCATGGCCAACACTTCTGTCAGGTCCCAGAGCCAAGGTGATCTCCTGAAGGCAGGTAACCCTATTGCTTTGGGGTCAAGCTTGAGCAGAGATCTCTGACAAGTCTGGGAGCCCCATGGTCCAAGACTGAGCCTCATCAGGTACCCCACAAGCCATCTCTTCAGAAGTTCTTCCCCAGCACCAGGCACTGCCAGGGAGCAAGGATTGAGATCTACTTCTCTCTCTCTTGGAGGAGGCTGCCATATTGCCCAAATAAGACACACTAAGCTTCCTTCCCTATTTTGGAGTTAGATCCCTCTCCCCACAACTCTCTCTGCATTTCCATATGTTCTGTCTTTTCAGCATCTCTCCAATCATATCCATCTGGGGATACCTCATAGTCGGTCGGGTGGTATTACCTGCTTATGCTCTCCAAAGAAGCAGATCCCCAATCCCCCCAAAACTGGTCTTTAACTCAGGCCCTTCTAGAAACTCTGGTTTCTCTGAACACTAAGGGTCTGAAAGCAACTTCTGCTTTCCCTTTACACTTGAAATCTCTTAGACAAGGCCTAGTCATTGTGGATGGTCTTTTGTTTCTTCTTTATATTTTAATGCACATTTATTTACTTAAACACATTAAGCACACCAATTTCACATTTGGTCTCTAATCGTTGTATTACCTGCTGTCTTTGTGACTCCTATTCTGTGGTTGTGGTTTCTGTTGACTCTCACTTATGGTGACTTGTTTCCTAGTGTGTTTGCTGATTTCTGTTGGGACTTCATGTTCCCTGGAACTTTACCTGTGGTACATCTGGGTTTGAAGTGTGTTCCCTCAGAGTGGTTTCCTGTTTGCTCCTGCCTGCCACCTGGGACACTACCAGCCTGGAACCTTCTTACAAAATTATGGGCTTAGGATTTGGGGGGGCCTCTTGAGAACTATGAATCCTGGCCACAGACCACATGAGTGTAGACTTGTGGTTAGGAACTTTCATGGGAGACATTTTGGGGAGTCCTTTCATGGGAGACTTTGGTTTTTGTTTTTCCCTATGCCCAGAGCCAAGATTTAGATAAACAAGTGTTCTTACTGCTCCTGTCTGGTGTTTTTTCTAGTTCAAAAGTGGCACTCATTAGCAGGCTGCCTCTGGATAGGTAGCTGTGGTCTGACATCTCAGCCTGTGTGGCCGTAGGCTCTCTCCACTGCCCCCAGGGACATGGCTCCTTAGAGCCCAAGGTCTAGGCCACCAATGGAGAATGCCTGTGGGTTGAATGGTGGCTTTGGTCTTCTCTCTCATCATTTCAAGGCTTTAATGATTTCCCTTTCTTTCTCTTTACCTTAGCCAAACATTTGTAAAGTTATATAAGGACTGTTTCTCCAAAGACCTAGGCTGCCATATTGTCCAACATAATTTCCTACCATAGTTTCTCTTTTTCTGTTCTTACGATAGTTTCTCTCCCCACCCCACCCCTACCTCTTTCTCTTGTTCCTTTAGTCCTTTCAACACTTCTATAACCAAATTTCTGTATTAAATTCTCTCTGTTAGAAAAACTTAGTATGATTCTTGACTGGACCTCTGGTAGAGACACAATCCCTCAGTCTGATTCAGCTCCCAGCCCTGACTGTCAGGGACCATCCAGCCAAACCTTCTACTGCACAGATCAGCCTGGCTGAAGTGAAAGTCAAATGGGGGTGTGGCTAAAATTACAAAGCTAAAATGAACCTGAGTAACTCACACACATCAATTAA